CTTCTTTACCTTCTTTCTACTTTATATCTTATTTGGATTTTTCGAAGCTTGAGGTTATTTATACCGCAAAGTTCTGCTATAACAATAAATGAAGAAGTGATATATTTGATTATTTTATATTTTATAACAATATATAGGTACCAAAAGAAAGCTGCAAAGTTAGTCCAAGACTTCACTGCTGGTGCCAATGAAGTATAGACAGACTATAGATCCAAAATGCACAATGACATCAAAATTGATTGGTTTTCTGGCTTGATATCTATCTTTAGTGTTTTCTAGCTTGATATCTATCTATGCATAATGACATCAAAATTTTCTGTGGTGTATTTCATGATAGGTATTTGCAACTCCGGAAGCTAGTATTGGCTTTCATACTGATTGTGGTTTCTCATATGTATCCCATCTTCCTGGGCATCTTGGTAAGCATGCAAATATAGAGGAAAATAGTTTTTCCTGGATTTTACTGAAATTGATTGGTATTGTGTGGGGAATGCAGGGGAGTTCTTTGCCTTAACAGGAGCAAGACTGAATGGTAAGGAATTGGTTGCAGCTGGATTGGCAACCCATTTTGTCCCTCTTGAGGTGATTTTCTCATTCCTTCCCTATAATTTTCTTCCTCTGAAACCAAGTCTCGGAAGTATTAGCTCACAAGATTTGCCCCTCTAAGTGATCTGCAAAGCTAAGAGACTGCATTATACACATCCATTATTATTAGATACTTTGATATAATTCTTCTTCATAGTTACTATGTCAAACTAAAATTTGCTATTGAACTGTTTTTGTTCATCATAAATTATCTGATCTAGAGAAGCATTTGATAAGCTTAAACTCTGGAGATGAGAATGCAGTCAAAGCTGCGATTGAAGAATTTGTAGTGGAAGTCCAACCTGATGAAGAAAGTGTTTTAAACAAGTAATAAATCTTAGTTGCTGGTGTTTAATTGTTAATTCCACTTCAATCCTTAACATTAACATGCAAAGCTCCATATCTCGATCTCAATAACCTTTCCTTACCTTTCAGGCAGTCAATAATTGATGAGTGCTTCTCCAAAGATACATCACAAGGATAAGGAAAGGTCTGATACCAGCTGGTTATGTCACTGTCAGGGTATGTGTCTTTCACTTCTATGAAATAATTGGGTTAAATTATGAAGTTCAGTTTTGGTCTCAGAACATCACAAGGAATTATCGTAACTATACTCAAATCTTGAAGGATTCTATGCTCAAATGACCCAAAATATAAATCACTATCCAAAAATAGATATGATTGTTATTTTTTGAATAGAGGAAGATCAATAAACCTTCATCTCAATCATCTCAATCCGCACTGTTTACTCATGCAAAAAAAGATAAAATTCTCTTTAGCAAAATTTTTAGTTTTCTAATTTCGGAAGAGAAAGTATCAATTTTGGAGAATGGTTTTTATTTTGGTTAATTTCACGAAGTGGTTGGAGCTCAAACCACCTGCCACCAACATGTTAAGGTGCTGAAATAGAGTTAGGCCTAATCTATGAAGGACAATTATATTGGTGATTTATCTGAGTTCTCTGGTGTTACTGGTTATGCCTATGTATCTCTGACTCTG